TCGAACATTGATAAATAACTCATAATTTTATCACAACTTCCTCAAGCACGTTATTTTAGGTAACATCCCTCCGCCTTCGGCGTCGGGATGTTACCAAATAACGTGCTTTCGAAAACTGTGATAAAATTATTTCGTTAGTTATCAATGTCCTTGGGATATTATAGCTGATAATTTTTTTGGCAAAAAATTTTCAGGATAATTAAAACCCAATTATGTGACACTATTTTTTCATTGGCTTTACGTATAAAATAGAATACTAGAAACTCATTTGTTTCTACGAAACTAAAATAAAATGTTGACAAAAATTAAAATTCACCTTACTTCTTGAATTATCAGGGTATATTGGAATAATGCCAATGCCATTAGTCATTTAACATTGTAATTCAAAAGGGAGAGCCTAGTTTATTGTGAAGAAAGATTTTTGAGATTTCAAAATGAAAATAGAGTAATTACCTACTTGTATACGGTGTCTAAACGTCAGTTCCCCTATACATGGCCCCTGCATTATCGTATCCGATGGGAATATCAAAAATAGAAAAGATTTTTTTGTCAGTTTTCACAGATTGGTAAAATCAAAATTAGACTCTTGAATCGCTGAAAAATATCAGTTAGTAGGCAATAAATATTGGTAAACAAATAATCAATAATGGTTCAGAATGTCATCGTCAATTCTTCCAGGTTTGGAGACCAGCTCCCCTACCCTTTTGGCTGATCATTGGCCTTGAGATGGACCAATGGGTACATGACTGATGGATGACGGCATGAAGTCCTTAGACATCAGTGCCGCCCTTCACGGGATACCCCTACCTGGCTGGGGTGGGATGGATGAAAAAGTTATTCATCCTTTAACGGGGGACATGAGGGCCTCATTCGACAGAGTGTCGGGGCCTTCTATATCGGGAGGGGTCGTCTACAGCATAATCTGTGGCTTCCCTAACTAACGGGTTTTCGTGAGTTTCCGTTTTTTCGAAAACTCTCTCATTCCTCGACTGAATGGACTGCCGAATGGAAGGCAGCTGCAAATCTCTGCGGATGGCTTCATTCCGCACGAACCAAGGAGCATTCACAATCATCCTAATTAGCTTATTTTGCAACCTTTCCAAAATGGAAATGTTGGACGGAGCCGCTTGTCCCCAGACGCCTGAAGCGTACATGATGACAGGCTTGAACATCGAGTTGTAGATCATGATTTTGTTTTTAAGACTCATCTTGGATTTCCTGTTGATCAGAGGGTACAGACCGGCGATCCGACCCTCGATCTTGGACTTAACGTACATGATGTGCGGGTTCCAAGTGAGCCTACGGTCTATTAAAAGGCCGAGGTACTTTACCCGCGCTTGCCAGTCAATCTCCCTTCCAGAGATTCTCACTTTTCTGGCCGGAGAAGATAGTAATCTTCCCATGGTTATCGCCTGAGTCTTTTCCGGGTTTACTCGGATCTTCCAATCGAGGTACCAGCGCTCGAGGTCGTCCAATGCACGTTGCATGTAGACGACGCCGAGCTCCCGCCCCATGGAAGACGAGAGTAGAGCCGTGTCATCGGCGTACAGGGATATCTTCACTCTATCGGACCTGGGCAGGTCGCTTGTATAGAGTGAATACAGCGTCGGAGAGAGCACGGCCCCCTGTGGCACTCCAGCGAGGATCTCTCTGTTGTCAGACAGAGAGCCCTCTACTCTGACCTGATAGGTTCTGCCTTTCAGGAAAGACCCGATCCACCGGATCAGGCCCCGAGGTAGGTCGAGCGCGTTTAGCTTGTGTAGAAGCCCTTCGTGCCATACACGGTCGAAGGCCTTTGAGATGTCTAAAAGCACAATATGTACTTTTTTATTGTTATTGAGCTCGCTGATGGTATTCTCGACCAACCTTAGAGCCTGTAGTTCAGTGGAGTGATGTCTCCTGAAGCCGAAGGGTAATGGTTCATATACATGAATGTTTAATATAACATGAATGAAACATTCTGTTTGAACGTCAAGTAATATCGTGACATCTACCGACGACTGTTTGAACCTACGTCATATGCGAGGAAAGAACATTTTCTCAGCTCATCATGAGCGATCTTCCAAAGTATAGATGTCGCAGTGAATTCAGTGAGAAGAAGTAATTAAATCATTAATCTTAATTAAATTCAAGAGAAATGAGGTTTGTTTGGAAGAACTGTATTTAATCATTATCTGTAGAGAAGTATTCAAAATTTCTGATCCATCTGTGGGCCAAGAATCCAACACATTCATATTTGGTCTTAATAAAACAGACTTCTAGTCAATTTCATTCAGTTCATCACCTGAACCACAGATGGAACCAGTCGCTACATTAAAGAACTCTCTTATTGTTAATAAAAATTGTGATTGCCAATGTTTAAATGCCAGTAATTTGTTGACGGTACACTTTCAATTATATATAATCATCAATCGACTGCTTCATTCGGTTATTTTTTCAATATAACATTGTGATTTTTGAGTTTTATGTTCCCGCCAGACGTTGACAATCGGTTATTTGATTTTTCAGTGTGGTGTATGCCGTGGAGCGGTGTAGTTATGGTCTCACAGAAGAAATTGATTAGTTTGTTTATAAACACTCTTTGACTCAACTACCTGATTTTCAAGTGTTGAACAATTTTGTGAGATACAACGATAAGACTGCATACCCAAGACTGAATATAACCGTTGCCGTTCCATTCTGAATCTGTGAGTACTTTTGTACCTTTTTTCCACCCAAAGATTTCCACAAGATCTAGACAACCGAGACCAAATTTAACACAATGTATTTACTTTTTAGAAACCGAAAATTCGGTGGCCACTTGACAGAAATGGTAGCATTTTTGATAAAACTTGGTTGTTAAAAACCAATTTTTAAATTATATTTTTTCTATAAGGTTTACTGCAGTTGAACCTGCTTTTTGTGTGAATAATCCCGTGCTGGATTCATCATGTTGGCCGTTGATACAAATTTCAGGATAAATATAGGTCACATAACAATTCCTGTAACGAGGTCAATGACCTTGTTCTTTAATCTCCAATGAAGAGACAGAAATAGGGGTACTATCTAACGAATATAACGCCACAATAATGCGACGTTGCCGGTTTCCGGCATATTCGTGAATGGAAAATAAGTTAAAACCGCTTCATCACTTTGTATGTATGGTTCATTAATAATCGTGAGTAATTTCATTCTCTTTTACTTTGTTTTCATGTATACAATGTAAACTGAGAACCTCACGGAATGAATTATACTAAAAAATGATGGATAGACGACATAAGAAATAATGGAAGTAATGTTTTAGTTAATTTTTGAATAGTCTATGAACACTGACTCGAAAAAAGAAATCTCTGTTCTATCAAAGACAGTGGAACTGTATTAAAAATGGTGGATATATTCGTTAGAACTGGTGATAGAACAAGAAACAAAGGTAATTTTGTTGTATTCTTAGATCTAGAGCAAATATTGTGTGATAATTTTCATAAAAAAGTGGTAAGGTCACATCTCGGGTCATGTTATGTGAATTTTCTATCTGAATCCCAAAATAAGAACGTCTTTTTCAATTCACTGACATTCAATTAGGCATCAGTGTCAGAATACATTTCAACATCGACTTGTATAGAGAAAATATTCGTAAATTTTCACAATTACAATGTGAGTAGATTGGATAATTGTTTTTCAAAGCATTTTTCTTCATATATATCCTTTGATTTCGATCAAGAAATGACCAAGGACCCAGATTGGTATTAGTCCAGGTAATAGACATGATAACAACATGGTGGAAGCTCTCAAGAAAAAATATTGCAAAAATATTTCTTTTTCCACTTCGTCAAGGTAATTAGGTCAAGTGACAATAATATGAAAAAAATGTGGCTACTTGTGTAGTTACTACGCAAAAAGTAATAATTTTTCGAGTAATGATTTATGAAACTCAATATTTTCTTAATGTTGTTACATCCATTTCCACTGTAAATGAATCAAAATCAAATAAATGCCCAAAAACGTTTTGTGCTGTTAATTCAGCCAATTTTTTTGAATCCTGCCGATGAAACAGAAATTTCAAATACACTCAACGATATGAAGTCGAAAACTTCTAGTAACCAATAACTTAAGAAGACCATACATAGTAAACTAACAAAGTATGAAGTGCACTGTTCGTGTTAGTGAATAATGTCATCAAATTCAAGTAAGCATACAATTTATTTATTCATTAAGAACACACATTTTTTGGCACTATAAAATTAACCTATATTCACCTACATTGAAAAAATTAGGAAGATTGGTGAATTCCTGAAGATTTGAATAACAAGTTATTCTTTTAGCACGCTTTTATTCGCTTCACCAATTTGTTTACATGTAACTCTCAAGCTTGGGATCTGAATTTGACAGAATTATCGACATTATTGCTTGATCTATTCGCGGGCAGATGGCGCTGTACGTAATCTCCTTGATATATCGACATGATTGCTCGATCTATTCACGGATAGATGGCGCTGTACTTAACCGCCTTGATATATTGCCATTACTGCTTGATCTATTCGCGGGCAGATGGCGCTATACTTAACCTCCTCGATATGATTCGAACTCACTCTACATGTATTTCTTCATTTGAAAAAAGTTTTTTTTCATTAACACGCGGGACTGCTGCCTTTTATGTAACCCTCCTTTGCGCGCCTGCTGCCTCGGAATTGGAAGCTGATTTTCAAGCTCCCTCTCCGAAATTTGAAAATATCAATGGTCATTTTTCTGAACAATATACAGCTGATTGATCCCAAAGTTTAGATAAAATGAATATAGTTTAAAAATACTAAAAAGCACGCCTTTATAGCATACGAAACTAAAAAATGATAAATAAATATGGTTTAAAAACTAAAAACACGCTTTTTAAGAACATCGAACTGAAAAGTTAGAAATGATTGTTTTCGAAATAAGCTTAAAATAATAACGAACAAAAAATACTACTATTATTGTGAAAAAAGTGTGGGCATGTGCCATATTTTTTGTATATCAAGGGCCCGTCGCTTTTTTCACAATAATACTATTATTTTTCGTTCGTTATTGTTTTAAGCTTATTTAAAAAAATTATTTTTAACTTTTTAGTTCGATGTTCTTTAAAAGCGAGTTTTTCAGTTTTGTGAGCTATTTTCATTATGGTCATGAATGGGATCTAGTGGAATCGAGAAAAAAAAAATATTGGCCCGGACTTTAATTTCAGGTTACACCCTTAATGAAGGTGTATATTAATGAATTTTAAAACGTGCTTTATATTTTTTGCATTTCCGAAGTCATTTGATATTGACACTAAAACAATTGCGCAACAAATCATTTTCAGGTTTGAAAACAGAATTGAAAGACCTTTCAAATAAAATGTAACTTAACTGTCATTTCTTTGAAATTTTTGACGTGGGGATTGTTGTGGGAGAGGGGTGGCTAACGAGTGTTTTTTTAGATAGAAATGTACCTTCCTGAAAACTAAAGTTGGCGTGTTTTTCATGAGAATCAATATAAAATATCTTATTCGTGATGTCCCGATTTAACTTGAATGCTCTGTATGCTAGCTTCTCTTTATTGCCTAAAATAAGTCCTCGACCGTGTTTACTTTGAGTCTGGTGATGCAGACATTTGAAGACGAACTCTGGCAACGCTGCACTGTTATATCAAGATGTTCCTTTCTAATTGTAATGCATTGTAAGTGCATCGGAGTTAGATGGCGACACGTTGACTGCTACAACAGCTTCTTGATTTGTTCAATTGGGCGTATCCCGGCCATAGAGATTTTTGTGGTGACGAGCTGTTTAGAGTAAAGAAGTATTTCCATATTGAATTGGAATCAATGGGTCCATATCCACTATAATTTTGTACTATTGCCTACAAATCAAAATTAGTTCAACTTCAAATCAAAATTGTATTTACATTGAGAAGAATTTCGATTTCAATGCATGCAACATAGTATTCTTTTTGACATTTGACAATGACGCATAAGTTTTGACATTTGACAATGTCGCATAAGTTTTCACATATGACATTGACGCATAAGTTTTGACACCAAATCTATCGAAATACCATTCATTAGTAGGTGTGATATGCACAGATTTTCCCAAAGCATTCGATACAGCCAACTACAGAATTGGCTCAACAATTATTTATGTGACAGAGCACAAGTTGTGAATATTAGAAGATTCAATCGCATGAAATCTCTGTCAACTAAGGGTTAACCCAAGGAAGGACTTGGCAAAATTGCATGAATTGGGCTTCGAGTTGCTTCTGAATCCACCTTATTCTCCAAATCTGGCCCCCATCGACTTTTTCCTGCTTAAGACTCGCAAAATAATGCTTGCTGGAAGGCCTATTTTAAGGCTAGAGACAAATTGTGTGTCGCTCACGAAAGCAACGATATTGATTGAAAAAATGAAATTTTATTTAAAAAAATGTTTTTTCTATGTTAGCCTACGAAAAGTTGTATGACCGCTATACTCGTTGTATCGCCCACGAAGGCAACTATACTGAATAATAAAAAAAAATTCATCATTTTTTTTCTATGCTGGCCTACGAAGGGTTGAACCGCATCACGTTTCGTCTTCGACTGTGAAGCCATTTTCAATACGGTTAGACTGCACTAAGGTCTCAATCTGCCTAGGCCACAGGTAGTGACACGTTTTAAGGGTTTTGTGACTTGACACCAGGGTCTCAATCTGCCTACTCCTCAGGTAATGACATGTTTCAATGGTTTTGTAACTTGACACCAGGTCTCATTCTGCTAACTCCTCAGGTAGTGACACGTTTTAAGGGGTTTGTGACTTGACACCAGGGTCTCAATATGCCTACTCCTCAGATAGTGACACGTTTTAAGGGTTTCGATCTGGCTACTCCCCAGGTAGTGACACGTTTTAAGGGTTTTGTGACTTGACTCCAGGGTTTCAATCTGTCTACTCCTCAGGTAGTGACACGTTTCAATGGTTTTGTTACTTGACACCAGGGTCACAATCTGCCTACTCCTCAGGTAGTGACACTTTTTGAGGGGTTTGTGACTTGACACCAGGGTCTCAATCTGCCTACTCCTCAGGTAGTGACACGTTTCAATGGTTTTGTAACTTGACACCAGGTCTCAATCTTCCTACTCCACAGGTAGTGACACGTTTTAAGGGGTTTGTGACTTGACACCAGATTCTCAATCTGCCTACTCCACAGGTAGTGACACGTTTTAAGGGGTTTGTGACTTGACACCAGATTCTCAATCTGACTACTCTTCAGGTAGTGACAAGTTTTAAGGGGCTTGTGACTTGACAATAGGGTCTCAATCTGCCTACTCCACAGTCAACGCTTGGGAGTAGGAGTCGGGATATACTGGCAGGTGATATTTTTTACCGTTTTACATAATTGACTTTTTATAGGGGAAATTTTGGTATAACATAAAATTATTATTCGATCTTAATGGGAAATATTTCAAAAAGTCTTTGTATTGTGAAAGAAATGACTGCTTCATTTTGTTGTCCTATACCACATGGTGCTGGTAAGATGATGAGACAAGTGCATTATTTCGAAACCTCGAAGTATACCATTGAAAAGTTTTTTGAATAATCAACCCAATTAAATTTCAAGAATTTTGTGGAGTGTAAATAGAGTTTTGAAGAATATGTGAGCTACTTTCCCAGAAAAAAATTGAATGAGGAGTGTACTTGGCTGACATCAGCAGCAACAAGGAAGAGAC